AGCCCCACCCACCTTCCCTAATTGCTTGTTTTTATTTACCGTGAACAACCGTTTAGTAGGCATGCCTTATTGTTTAGTAGATATGCCTACACCCGTGGTATGGTGGGTGGAGGCATAAGGGAGGTGCTAAACCTCCTTTATACTAATATGGGGGGATCATATCATATCAAAATCTTTTTGTCGTATCCAAGTCTTCTGTTTACCGTGTGTTATTCATATTGCATTTGGACATATTTAAAAATGATCTGCATGGTTTGTCAATTAGATCCATGTGCCCCAATCATAAAGCTCCAGTGCTTTCTCTGCCATAGCCTTACCATTCTGTCATTTATAAGAATGTTTCTGCAAATTATAGTTATCTACAACGCTATTCAAGTTTAGGCCCTGGGGAGTCAGCACAGCTAAACGGACAAGGGCACATGTATGAGTGTGGGGATGGTGCTAGTGATTGGCTATATGTGTTTAGGGGAGTGGCTATATGTGTTTAGGGGAGTGGCTATATGTGTTTAGGGGAGTGGTTATGGGTTTGTAGTGGGGCAGGGATCATCTTACCTCAGTGCCTGTTTGGATTCTGGCCAGCAAACAACTTCTCTGCCTCTGCGCTGCTGTTAGTCCTGGGCCTGCATACTTTACCTGCTTGAGGGATGGATGTGGATTCAGTCCTGTCTGCCCTCAGAGCTGCTGCTGCCCTGGATGGTGGTAGGCACTTAAGGGAGCAATATGCTCACCTCCAACCTGGCCTGCCCGCTGGTGTGGGTTCACCCCCCCACGGTCAGGCCTCTCCTGGGCCTCCCACGCAGCTACTCCTGGGCCTCCCACGCCCCCTGTAGGCTGCAGGAGCATGGCGAGATAAGGGATTTGGGGTCAGAGGGCGATGGCGCCAGTGGTCATGAGCGCGATGCACCCTTGGCTCGCCAGTTTATAGGAATCGTCGGGTGGCATCCTACTGGATGGGTTGAGCATGGGAACTCTGCCGGGTACCTTATGCATCCTTTGACGTAACAAAAGCAGTTCTAAAAAAAAACAAAAAAACATTTTTTTTAAATAAAAGTAAAAAAAAAATCAATAAATAACCTTGATTGGTCGGAGGTAATTTCTCGTATCTTTTGGCAGCGGGCCCATAATCAGTGCATGGTACGCTGACGTATGAAGCAAAATTGGAGGGCCTTTAGAGGCGTTTGAAGGGAAGGGGATTTTGGTTTGCCACAGGGTGTTTTTGCGCATGTGTCAGCTACTGTGTTTCTGGGTGATGAAGGTCGGGCTAGACCTTTTTTCGTCTTGCCATGCAGGAAGTGGTGGAACAGGCCTGGTTGGTTTTGGTGCGGCTCCCCGGTGATTTTAGGTTTAAAACAGCGGGATTTGTGGCGGGGAGCGTGTCCTTGCCAACAGGGTTGGCATGTCAGGAGATGGACATGGTCGGTCTCAACCTCCCCTGCTCTGTAAGGTAAACTTTTAAGTTACCGAATAGGAAGTGCCCACTGAGCAAAAAGCCAGCTGGTGGTAGAGCATTTAAGATGATGGGAATTTTTGGTTTGGACGAGGGGGGAGGCGAGACACCAGTGGATAAAGTTTTGGTGCATAGGCACCTGGTTAAGTACGTTGGCAAGGACGGTTATTTAAATTGGAGGCTGTAGGGCAATAAGTGTAATTTATATGTTAATTATGGTATGTATATATATATATATATATATATATATATATTTATGTGTTTATTTATATTTGAATTAAAGAAAAAGAATAAAGTTCGGATGCGTCCTACAGTTGTAAGTTTAATAAATGCTGTGGCCTGTTTCATCCAATATTCGTTTTTTGTCATTATTGGGGGGAGAATTGGGGGTAGTCTCCTTACTCTTAGTCGCACCACATTCCCCGCTACGTACATACAAGGCCCTGAGGAGTCAGCACAGCTAAACGGACAAAGGGCACATGTATAAGTGTGGGGATGGTGCTAGTGATTGGCTATATGTGTTTAGGGGAGTGGTTATGGGTTTGTAGTGGGGCAGGGATCAACTTACCTCAGTGCCTTTTGGGATTCTGGCCAGCAAACAACTTCCCACCCACCCACCCTAATTTTCTGTTTTTGTTCCGTCACAGCTAGCGGGAGCGTGTCCTTGCCATAGGGTTGTGGAGCAGATGGAATGTCAGGAGATGGACATGGTGGGTCTCAACCTCCCGTGCTCTGTAAGGTAAACTTTTAAGTTACCGAATAGGACGTGCCCAAGGAGGAAAAAGCTGGCTGGTGGTAGAGCATTTAAGATGATGGGAATTTTTGGTTTGGACAATGGGGGAGGCGAGACACCAGTGGGTAAAGTTTTGGTGCATAGGCACCTGATTAAGTTCGTTGGCAAGGATGATTATTTAAGTTGGAGGCTGTAGGGCAATAAGTGTAATTTATATGTTAATTATGGTATGTGTATATATTTATATGTTTATTTATATTTGAATTAAAGAAAAATAATAAAGTTCGGATGAGTCCTACAGTTGTAAGTTTAATAAATACTGTGGCCTGTTTCATCCAACATTCGTTGTTTGTCATTATTGGGGGGAGAAGTGGGGTAGTCTCCTTACTCTTAGTCGAACCACATTCCCCGCTACGTACATACATGAATGTTTACATTGCTTTTTGAGCCTAGTACATTCTTATTAATAATTACCCATATATTTAACCAAGGTACAGTGGGCGTTGGCATTTGTATGAAGCATTGTGTTTTCTCTGAAATGTACCTTTAAAGCTGTAATTGATAACTGAGGTTAGAAAGCTATTTATGCTCAGTGACTGCATGTT